ATAACGAGAGAATATCGTTTAGTTCGAGATTTTATCTTTATTATACTTTACGAAGTTTCTCAGAGCATTTACTTAGGTGTACTCGAACAGGTGAATTCGTAAACAAATTCTCTAACCTTCCTGCTCTTGTTGCTCAGAAGTTCTTGAGCCGGTTGATGGCTCCTTTGGTATAACATGATTCATGATTCACTCAAAATGTTCGCTCGTAAATTGATCACTCGTAAGGCTTGCAGCGACCCGTTCCGAAAACGCTTAACGTCCTTTAGTGTTGGTCTACCTTGAACGGTGTGTTCGTATTTATGTCATTTCATCGCCCTAGAAATCGTGGAATCCGTGCTAACTGTTCTCGACGATAACCTCTGTAAATCCCATGTGGTATACGCATGCACAGGTGGCGCATGCGCTTTAGAGACCGGACGGCGATTTGTAACTGAACGTGGGAAAAAAAAAAAAAAAAAAAAACGGAGCCGAAATTTAAACCCAGGCCTCACTGCCTGGGTAAAAATCGGAAATCCCGCGTAATATGTTTAAATGCCAATTGGACTGGAAATCTTATGGGCTTCTTATTCGAGGATCGGGAAAGTAGGGAAGGAAAAGATTTGACTGGCACTGTTGGCATGAAGAATAAATTTTGGCATCTGAGCTTGGGGAGGATAAAACTACCGACATCTCCGCATTACTGCCTCCTCCTTCAGCAGGCAAGAAAAGTAGTCCAGATGAGTTTGTTTTTTGAACAAACACTTGAAAATAAACAGCTTATGCTCGCCAAGATTAGTGTGTACACGTGCGTGTCTTGCTTTGTTTTCTCCACAGAAAACTAAATTCATGTGGTTCTCGATTAAACGTCGATTGACCAATATCAATCGATATGATCAATTGCCTAGTACTCATCGATTGATATCGGGCAATCGATAGAGTTTCTGATGATCTATTTTAATATGAGGAGCGATTGTGAATTCTTTTAAATATTCACAGTAATGGTCGATTGATCTACGCCACTTTAAACCCCCAATTTTGATTCCTTCTTGTCTATTGGCATCTGTTTTGTTTTTAGGGCTAGTGGCATTGTAT